TCCTGATGCAAAAAAAAGGGGTCGTCCAATTAAACGTAACCTTTTTTGAGTGAAGCATAAAATCGCGCGCTGAACCTTTTGTGTTCGGGAATCGGCGAAGAGCGAGTGGACTGCAGTGCGCTTTTTATGGCAATTCAGTTTTCCTGGGCATTATTCCGCGGCTATCATTTCGAAGGTAATTTCCAATTGTCGCATAGACATGTCGTTTCCTACTTTTTGTGGCTTTTGGAAAGTACAGATATTGAAGAGGGAAAAAAGAGATTCTGGATATTAAATTAATCATTCACCAAAGAGGATGTTATTGGGATTTTTTTTAAAAGATTAAATTTAATCAAGTAACTAATCTCCGGGATAATTACACCGAAATGTCAATGCTGAAGGTCAACTAGCGGCACGAGAGAACGGTCTTTCCTGAGTGCCCGCAGCTCCCTTGAAATCCTTTACAAATCACTCGGTAGAGGGTGGATGTTTACAATCACAGTAATCCAACCCCTCGCAGAAATTTTTTTGAAGGAGAAACAGGACGAAAAGGTTCTATTTCTAGATATTCTTTGTCTAAAAACTCCACAGCGTTTTAATCCCATCCGGCCTGAACGTATTCAATGATAAACCGGTATGCCTGGCAATTCTGAACACTTCTTTCAACATTACAACGTTTACGTAAGCACATCGAAGTAATTTCTCTGATTGGTGGAGAAATACCTCTGCTGGCAATTAATTTCGCAGATATACCACCGCAGACGGCAAGGTATAGGTACTTGTAGCAATTTGCAAAAAAATTCTCATTAATGGGTAAGCGACCTCTAAGCTCCAGCGTTTGGTTTCGTGAATGATGTTTGCATATGAGTCAAAGAAAAAAAGCGTTCCATGTTAAATTAGGAAAATCAAATAACGGGAGCCTGTTTGGGGAGATCATCCCACACGATCGTCCTTCGCTGTTTGCTTTGAAGAATGATACTGAATACGACATGGGTCAATTATTATTTTTGACATAGGCTGGATTACGAGTTTGCATGCAAACTACACCACCTATCAAAAATAATGTTCAAACTGGCCTTCACCAAGACATCACGACATCGGATCTGAACAGTCGAACGAACGCATTACGACGCCCTGCAGTGTACGACGTGCGGAAACGCCAGCGGGTTCAATTAAGGAGGCATTCGGCTCGTCCTCGGCAAGGATCACACCAAGATATCCGTCCAAATCTCTCTCCCTATCCCCCATGTATAAATGGATAGTGTGCAATAATGAGTTGGTTGAGTAGAGCGCGTCAGTTTACCTGCGCGAGCTCCTCCAAAGGCAACGACGCGAGTGATGGACACACGCTCTTTAAAGCGGGGTGCAGGGTTCACCAACACTGGAGAACATGCGATCTCATGCCCAAAGATAGGCTGGCTCAGCTAAACAACACGCCTCAGGTTCATCCCACCAGTTTCAAATCGGATCATTTCTTGAATAAGACCAGTCTAGACAGCACTGGAGCAGATCCGATCGAATCAGAAAGTATCAGTTCAAAGCATCATGAACCAAATAAAACCACCCCCCATCAAACAGCATTTTGATCAGATCGGATTAAATTGGAACAGACCGAATGGAATAAGATCAAACTAGATTGGGTCAATTCGGAACAGACGGGGCCAAAATATAGCAAAACGGGTCAGAGTCACACACAGACTGGTCTGGATTAGATCAAGTTGCATCGAATCTGATCACGCAGGATTGGGTCAACTTGGATCAGATTAGGTCAGAGAAAGACCGAACCGGGTCAAAGTTAAGCCAGACTGGTTGGGAGCACATCAAATCAGGATCTGATTAGACTTGAATAGACAACAATGGTTTGATCTGGATCGGCACAGATGTTTCTAGATCAGATCGGGTCAGGTCAAACAGGAGTAGACAGCGAGAGCAAACTGTACGCATAGTATCTAAAGATGGCGATGACTCAATAGTTTTCGGAGGTGCGCTTACCTCTCAATAGAATCCATGCCACACGGTCTGCAAGTGCGACCAGGACGAATATCCCTGGAAAACAAACTGCTCTGTGTACACCACAGATATCTTTTTTTCCTCCGGCAAATTGTAAAATCAACGGGAATACATTTATAGGCAGAAGACAGGTCCTCCACGATGCCTGATTTCTCTGTAAAGCCCATGAATTTCTAAGTGTTAGCATAGGCTGGCATAGTATATGCATTTGTGAACATAAGATCGCACCGACGAGCGTCTCAAAGGGCCGGCAACGAAGATCACCGAACGTCAAGTATTACTATGGTTACACTTCAACGTGTCCAAGAGTCAAGTGTGTAAATCACAGAGAATGTGGCGTTGACTTTGTTTTCAAAATGCCTGGTTGCTGAATAAGGCTGACGGCGGAGAATGTGAAATACTGAATTTGGTACCAGAGTTTTGGAATGCGACACCGTTCGCTTTTCCCACAGGTGCTTGGAGAAGCAAAGTATAGACGTAGTGTGCTTCTACTTTTAGAGCAACCAAAACATGTTCAGTAAGATCCCGGCGTGCGTCAACCCAATTACCAATCAGGAAACATTCTTCGGTTCTTTTTAAGGAAGATATCCAGAACTCCTGCCAGTTTAAAGAACAGACTAGTTTGTATATTTAGCGAGCAGGTCTATACTTGTCCAGGATGTGCATTTGACGTTTCGAATTTCCGCAGTTTTTCGAATTTCTGTAGACAGCGGATCACATGACAAGAACCGTGAAAAATGACGTAACGCACCGAAGTAACGCGCGTTGATGCATTCAAAATGCATCAACTTCAAAATCGCATTATTCCGCAAGTCGGTATTCCACTTGATTCCCCAACTGATCCATATACCCCGATATAAGAAAAATAAGGCCTACTCATCTTGTCGACGAACGTCTGTCGCCACCCGCACCTCCTGGGAGGAAAAGGTATCGCTGCTTTCCCCGATGAAATTAGATCTACGGGTATTGTTCGGTATTGTAGCCGGTAAATCCCCGGTGTTCAATTTTGTTTTCTTAACTCCACTACACGCCATACAGGATACGAAAGCAGAAAGATTTTGTGACTCGCAAAATGACGGTTGAGATTGGACTCGACGCGTCAATTCCCCCCCCCCCGAGTCCCTCATGGCACTTGTGGCCTCACGCACAAGGCCTACGATGTTTTGCATGCAGATGACCTACTACGTTTATTATCTACGGTCGTTTATTATCTTGTTGAATAAATTTTTTTTAAGGTAAACATATGCGTCAATAATTTGATGCCTGAGAAATTTCAAGGGTTGTATAAAGCAAAAGTCTGTTCTTTCGTTCACTGCCACCATCTCTATGTACCCAACACAGATGAGCTTTCATTGATGGAATGACTGTTCAATATAGGTGCGGACTGTTGATTATTATGATTAACGATTAACACAATAATTGAATAATTGATAATATGCTCGATAGCGAAATCACGCTTAATCACCGGTAGTTCGAGTTAAACCAGTGTTTTCTATTTCCACGCGTGCACTACGAACACGTGTTTTTTTGCAGACGATGAACGACGTCGACGCTGATTGGTCAATCGCTGCTGGCAAGAAACAAGGCGCGATGCTATACGGTACCTAAACTGGACTTTTCCAAACAGTTGGGAACATCTGTCACTTAAGATTGCAATTCTTTTGAGAAGTAATTAGTAGGTCTAAGGAGGTAAGGATTCTCCGATATACGGTGATATGGTCCAAAATATCCAGCAGGGGAAAAAAGAGCTGAAATCGCGCTACTTTAGAGGATATTTATGTCTATGCACGTCAAAAAAGCATCATCGAGTTGATTTATTTCGCCGTTGGAAGAATGGAACAATCAGCAAAAAAACCAAATCACAAGCCCGATTTGAAGTTGAGCAAACATTACTTCGACCGCAAAGCCCGGTTAATATTAAAACGCTTTTTAATTAAACAGATTTGAGGCCGCTTGGGCTTGTCCGGATAAAGGGGCACCTGTCAATTTGCGGTGGATGGAGAAGTTTGGTTTCCAGTAAACCAGAACGATATCCATGTACGTGGGAGTAGGAGTGCACGGGGACGTGCCGTGATGCGCGGATTCGCGGAGGAATCAACTGTAATCGCGGCCGGTAATTTTCGCTGGCGAAACAAAGGACTGCGTCTCTTTTCTCGTACGGGGAAAATGTCACCCCGGTCATCTGTTGAAAATGGACACGGGTGGTCAATGCGAAAGGTCGTTCATCCGGATTCGACAACTTTCCCGCTCAGGGCTTTTGGTCATCAGTCATCACTCATTATCAGGTCGGGTTCTTTTTTTTTTTTTTTAGATTAGAGACAAAAGTCTTGCCTATGCAGCAAAGCAACTCTTTTTTGTACAAACGTGTTGGTTATAGTTTACAGTTGTTATTTAGTTTTCCAAATTTCCCCAAGTGCTCTGTTTGCTGGGGAAGTTTCTTTCCGGCAGGCTCAAGAGGTTTCCTGAAAATGTCAAACTGAAGCGTTTGACAAATAAACTGCCCCCCCTTGAAGGAGAGAATGAGTTACCTATAAACCAATGAAAAGGTAGGATGTGGTCATGCGCACTGCTGAGATTGGTCAGGATCTCTGGTTTTTACTGTCTTCACAATGTCCCGTTTACTAAATTTCCTTTAAACAAAGCAGGGGAAGTTGATACTGATGGAAAGTCCGGATGTCAGGGTTCTTAACTTTCATATTCACCAGTTAATTCCCGGCTTCAAATGAAATGCTTATCACGAGGCGGAATGCCACAATTCCAGGAAAAGCTGCCCCCTCTTGCATTTCCCTTCTCTTTTCAATCATCTCCATCTTCCATTTCTTTTTCAAGTCTAGTTCCCGTGAGCTGACAATAGTCCAATTCATCCCGACGGCCAACCGCTAGTCTATGTCTATGGCAACTTGGTTAATCTAGTTCCAGTCAATGGAGGCGATGTCCAGCGTTGGCTACCCATTCGATTAAAAGGTCAATTTATCGTTTATTTGTGATCGATTGATTCCGGTTGTACACAGGAGTACTACCTAGGTTGTGACCATGCGGCTTCCGATGCTGATGGTGGCCTGTCTTGCCGTGCCGTGCCTTCTACTTGCTCAAATGGTCAGCTCCGTTCCAATCCTCGACGACAACAACCGCATTCAGGTAAGAAAAACTTCGGTAAAATCTGCTGCCGTAAAATGCGGTATTGGCCATTTACACTGCGTTTGTGTTTAAACTCAAGTCACCTTTTTGTACAGTAGCGCTGCCCAATGGAGAAAAAAAGTTAAGCTCAGAGGAAGCATCTGCAAGGCGAATCTGCGTGATGACAGCGCAAGTTGAACCCGTTTGGACCAATTCGTACATCTACCGCTGTTTTCAAAATGTCTCCTCTGATAATGCAGCCCAACAGGTTGAATGGAAAAGCACTTTGACTTATGAGGCTACTCGAGAGGTTGGCAGAGGTTGGTGGGATCATCGAGTGAAGCCATTATAATAATTCTTGTGGGCAAAAAAACCTGCCGATAACGTCACTACATGGTGATGAACCCGATGCACACAAATTGGATGGGATTATGCAACCAAAGTGTGACGTAGCAACTTCCTGACGTAGCATCGAATCCACAGACCCTATTAGTCGTGAGCGTCAGAAATGAGCGTCAGAAATGACGCTCATGAAGCCATGCAGCACAAACTGGACGCTCGTTGGTGTATTGGACGTCACTTGTTCCGGTTCCACTGACTTTTTTCTGCTTAAAAAAGCATGTTTCCCAACCCACGGTCAGCAGCATTATACGTCACTTACACTGATACAAATTGCCGTCGTCATTAAAAGACGAGTAAACAGGGTAGTCTGGAATACAGGTGTTAACTTCGCCACCCCCGGAAAAAGTCAGGAAGAAAAAAAAATATCGGGCTGTTGATGAATCCAGCCGGCGAAGACAAATATAGCAAAACCTTCTCAGAAATAATTATATGCAAACTACGCCCCCAACCACAAGCGACGTCTCCGTCTGCGAAAAAAATGCATCATGTCAAAGAACCATCGACTAAAAGATTTCGAAATCAATGTAACATCCCACGAGAGAGGAATGAAAGTTGTTTCACATAACTGCATACGTCAAATTGATTCCACTTTTCTCTTAAAGGATCTGCAAATCTAGCTGGATGGCATTATAATCATTATCAGTTTCAGTGGGCGGATTTATGATCTGGCATGACGTCACAAGAATTTTAAAAAGTCAACAAGTGGCAAGGGTAGCCGCGCCCCTTATTTGCATAAGCATGCACATGGTTCGAGTCAGGTGAAGCAGCGGGTACCGCGAACTATTTTCAAGATTTAATTTTTGTTTCCCCTTTCTCAGGCATTTGGCGTCGGCGACTGGCCAGTCGATGCTTTTGGCGATGGGGAATATTTGATAGCGACGGACAAGAGGGAGAAGGCCCGAGGCCAGTACTGTATGGACTGGATTCACAACACATGGAGACGGTGCAGAGTAATGAATATTCATGTCGGGAGTATAGCCTTCAGTGTGAAAATGAATAAGCTAATATGAATCATGCATGATCGTGAACATTCAAACACATGAGGAGGTTTTGTGCTGGGAACGTTTCTCGAACACTACGTGAAAAACCCACATACGTTAATAATTATTCATAACTTAACTTGCATAATGAATATTCATTCGACATTTCAATTTCAGGGCAGGAACGGCTAAAACGAACAGCTTGACGCTCTTAAATAAACAGGTAAGAAAATCTCAGCGCAATTTAAGAATAAAAAAGGAAATGCTTGCAAAGGCATTATCATACCATAAACTTGTCTGGATTGACAAACAAAAACATAAGGTCATCATGTCGACAACAAACAAACAAACCGACAAAAACAAATTACTCGCGGTAAGAGTTGACGATAAAAAATGACAAATTATTCTGCCTATAGCCCGGAGACAAGGTAAACAGCAGCATGCATAAATTATGATTCGTATTGGAATCTCACTACGCAGAAATTTTCTCCTCAATCACAACTTACATTGTAGAATGACAGCCTGTAGGTTATTTGAACACTTACAAAGCCCTCCCTCTCTGCATTCATGTTCACCCCTCAACAAAACAACAGGCTACTCTCCGTTAAAAAGCCAGATTTGCTTGACTGATGTTGTCTCTTCATCATCTCCACAGAAAATCCAGGAGCAGCGTGGGCGACGTACTGAGGCCTTGTTTAATCATCGAGTGCCCGTCAAACAAAATAATTTGATTGTGTTTAAACTTCTTTTTTTTCCAAAAAAGGTAACTTTTTTTGCGTGTCTTATCCTCTTCAGGAGAAAATGTTCCATTTGGATATCTAAAGTAATGAGGTCTTTAAAAAACTGAACAAATATTGATTCAATAACTCTACCAAACTTTGAAAGGTTAGACGATGCCGTTTAAACAGACTACAAGGGTATTTCTGCACATACGAATTGTGGTCTTCGCCAACCATTTAGAACACACTATCGAATGGCAGTTTTATAAACAGTGAACAGAAACGATCAACAAAGTTGAACTTTCGCTGTTATCCAGTTAATTCCGTTCAACTTTTTCCATTCTCGAAGTAAAAACAAAGCGACTGTGGCTTAACCGGGACACGCAAGTGCAATTTGAAGTAGTTACAAGTCGAGGTTCTTGCTGGCTGTGTTTTTGTTTTCTGTGGTTTGTTTTTCCTTGATTCGGAGTGGGTATGAGTGGGTGTGGGCTGGGTCGAACGCAACCCCCCTGCTCTGAGACAAAACCAATGAGGTAAAAGTGGGAAAGCAATTGAAATTAACGAAAGTAAGCACACCGATTCCACTGTAAACAATATATGCCATGTATATTGTTTCATCATCGTCTCCGCTTGTTTGCAAAGAGACATAAAAAAAAAGAATATTCCACCCGAACCCCCCGCCGAAAATTCCTGGATCCGCCCCTGCTTTACGTTGTCTGGTTCAAGTAATCTGAGGCAAACATTGCCATATTCGTAAAGTATACTGGAACACCTCGAGGACTTGGAATGTGGAGGGTGAACGCCCGTTTCCGGTTAATTTGTTGGGACTTTTCTCGACAACCTATTTTTGAGCGCCAGAAACGAGTCCCTACACATCGTTTGGTGACATTATGCATATCATACAACAATTGCTGTTCTTCCGTCAGTCCAGTTCATCTTTTAGAACTTGTGTGACGAAAAGTTGGACCAGAAGTTTACTGTTCGTATATTATAATACCGTAAAAAATGTCTTTTTTGAAAACTGCAGAAACAAGGTGAACGGAATTGATCAAAATTGTGTTACTAAACTTTACTGCGCTTTTGTGGAGTTAAATTGATTATTAAAACTTGCATCTGAAACTGAAAAAGGTATCCCTCTCAGCTGTTACTTTCGGAAAAGGTTTTCTTGTGGATAAACAGTCCCATCGCCCCAAAACAGACCCAAAGAAAAAGAAGAAACAACAAATGCGGCAGGACAAATATTTAAATTCATGTACCAAATTTATTTCCAGGAATAAGTACAATCGAAAACTTTACGTTAAAATGGGGCCCTTACACCCCCCCCCCAAATCTCGGTCTCGTGTCTGTTTGGGCTTCATGCGGCACTCTGCGATCAGTTTGATACCTCTGCAGTCGCATGAAACTATACCCAACCTCGATCACAGGGCGCACAAGCTGGCGCTTCTGTAGCAGAGAAAACATAGAGCCGCGCCGGGTCAGAGGCGACTCGAGGGATCTGAATTGTGAAACGGGAGCCTGAAGCCGACGACAGAGACGCGGCCCAGATTTGGAAAAATGGCCTACTATTCGGGCCCTTTTGGCATAAACTCAAGCCGAACTCGAAATATAAACTGAATCCAGGCAGCCTGTGTCTTCACATAAAGCCAATTCCCTGGAATATATGCTAGTTTTCTGAGAGAAACAAACAGCATCTGGGAAAGGATACCGCAATATTTTCTGACTTCGTGCGGTCCACTATAATCATCACATGTGACATGGAATCAGCCATCAGGAAACTATTACTCATGAAATATCCCGCAATGCACATTTTCGGTCACTTTACACAGAACAAGTCGTTCAATTTTAAGAGAAGACTATCCAGCCGGCTGGCTTGTGACGTCTTTACAAAATACAAACGAAAATTACTCCTTGTACGGTCTGCAGGTTTACACTTACGGATTTCAAAATTCTACACGGCACGAATAACTAAACGGAAGGAAAACCATGTTCATTCAGCATGTATCTGGCTACGACCCTAATGTAACAGTGAATGAAAGTGACTACACATGACTGGAAAAAACCGAGACAGTTTTGAGACGAATTTGGGTGGGCACTTTGAGGATGGTCACCCACCCGCAATTGGAACTACATAATCCGTTGCTTTCCTGTTGATGTCAGACTTTTGAATCTTCTTCTCTTACGGTTCGCCGGCTCCGCCCCTTACGAGGTTTTCAGCGTCTTCTCGACTCGATTGTGATTAAGAAAATGTCTGGTAAATCACACGGTGATCATGCCTTCAAAATCCCCCCGGGGGGGAGGTTTTGCCTGGTGGTGAAGATGTCTTCAAAAAGCACACAACAGACGATGAACAACGAACAGTTTAATCATCTCAAGAAATCATTCATTAAAAATCAGCCTCCCAGCCGACTACAACAAATTGATAAAGAAAAAAAAATGGTGTAAAAACAGAAAGAAAAATGTAATAACCCCCTAAACCTACACTCCTCGGATAATTACAACCAAAATGTTATTTATCACGTCAGCAAGGTCTCTGTGGCTGCGCGCGTAAGACCGTCAAGAGGACAGATACCATTTAAAACAGTGTCACGCGTGCGGTGTTGGCGAGCGCACATCCACCGCTGGGATTTTAACGCTCGAGGACGTCACAGCCTGGAAAATGCCAGCCGTGTGCTCAGCTCTTGACCTTGATTAGGCGAACATGAATCGTCCGGCGCAGCTTCAACCCCCAGGGATTCACTGGCACCCACGAGAGGCTCAATGAAGGCAAATGGTGGATTTGTCAGCAGTACTGTCGGATTTTTTTAAAGGTGCCCACGCAAGTGTTTTTCTTCAGACGTAGTTTTTAGAAAAGCTCCTTTCCGCTCTCTGTTGTGCCATTTTCAGACAATTTTGATGCCTTTTTGCATTCATGCTACTGCAAATTTGCTCATTAATGAGCAGATGTGTGATGTGGTGTACTGCACTGTATAAATTTTGTTATCATCGATGATAGATTCATTGCTTTTTCAGTTCAAGACAGTAGGCCTGTGAGCGAAGTTCCGGAAAAATATTTTCATTCGGCAAAGTTTGGGTTGAGAATTCAAACAGAATCCCCCCCCCCCACAAACCCAGCCACACAGTCTGACGTAACAGCAACAATGCCCTCGTTTGTCGGGAAAAGCCTGGTAAACTTTGTACCGAGAACTGGCAGCGTGGATCCCTTAAATAGCCAGCGATGAGTTCACCCGCGGCTGTGTATTCATGAATGGCCGCATCGTGCTTGCTCGGTCATGGACACGTCCGTTGTCAAGAGTGCGTGCTCCAGCCCTCTTCACACGCTGCTTCAGGCAATATGACAAAATGTGCATTCCAACATCGAAGGCTAATATTTGTCGGCTTGGAATACAAATTGATGTATGAAAACAGACAAAGGCTGATATGAATGGAGAATGGTGTTTGGTTTTCTCTGCATCATGAGGCTTGTGGGATTTCCCTGGCGTCGAATTCCAACACTTTTCATCAACAAAAAATGTTGAAAAACAGAAAAAAAACAATCTCTATTGGGGTGAAGCGAAGAAAAACCGAACATAGGTTTCCTCTCAAATGCATTTACTATTCAGGTAGTTTGCTTCACATTTTAAAGGGAAGTTATGTGTCTTTCAGGACTTGAACCAAATGTTCATTTGTGGTGCAGACTGCCCCAGTGTTGTAGTCGAGACCATCACAAGACCAGACACAAGACCAGACACAAGACCTCACACCAGACCAGACACAAGACCAGACAAAAGACCAGACACAAGACCACACACAAGACCTCACACCAGACCAGTCACAAGACCAGACACAAGACCAGACACAAGACCATCACAAGATCAGA